AGTCAACTGTCATCGGTAACATCCTCATCCGGGCAATGGTCGAGAGGAGGAACCGAAAGCACGAGCTAGAGGTGAATCCAAACAGTGCGACCGACGACAGCACTTTTAACCCGGCAGTATTTGCTGCTTGCTTCCTGTCGTCTTACTCAGTCTCGCCTTCCCAAATGTTACCTTTAAGCTATATGCCGAGACTTTTCACGAAATGACTAACACCTTTAGTCACATTGTGAAATAATAATCTCTTTACATCTGCCTTATTTGAGAAATTAGCGTTTCGTGAAAAAACTACACATTTTTGTTTCTTTTATTCAGAGGATAAATAAATTATATTAAAAAAAAAAAACATAATTATATGAAAAATATAATATTAACTAAAAGCAAAACAAGCAGTCTGGTTTAAAAAATAAATAAAATAATACAAAACATTTACTACATTTGTAATACATTATTGTTAGGTATAATATCTACTTATATTGCTTGTACATTGCATCTTAGAAGATTGAAATAGGCTTTTATAGTATCCCTGACCTTTAAGTAAGGATTGAAGAGAAACAGCTTCCCTTAATGAAACACATTTGGTTTCACATATTTGTTCCAATGTAGCTTTCTTTAGATCTCTCCTGCTGAACCAAGATTTTTTAATATAATTTACAACAGAACTAACGTACGGTGGGACAGCTCTTTCTCAATGTTAACTAAAAGACAATCTCCTATTTTTAAATCAAGTAACTTTAATCTACATGATTTAAGAGGAAGATATTTATAATAATCTACGATAAATTCATATTAGTTGTGGTCATGGGTCCAGCCACAAATAAAATGATTATCTTCATTTGGCAAAACTGTTTTATTCCTAGACCATGTGTTGAGTTATTTTTAAAATCTTGCAAGGCAAAAATTCATGACTTCTCTACTTTCCTTACTGGATTACATGAAATTACAAATTATCAAAAACTATCGCTTTTAGAGTCAATATAATAACAAATAATAAATAATCAAATAATATACTGGGTTTTCAATCTGAAAAAACGCAGTTATAGTTTAAGATTAGCAAGTTGGTGTCCCTAAATAAAATCGCCTATTCCTAAACATAAACTTCGGCTCCTCTTCGACGCACACTGGGGCAAGAAGCCCTCAAATTTGGCAATAAATAAAAAAATTAAATAGCATATACACTCTACCTCATATTTTTTTCTGATATATTACTGTCCACTACATAATAAAACGAACAAGTGCGATCTTCTATCTCACGCGTTTCATCACCACCCTCAGTCGAAGTTACTTATCTGAGGCGAGTATATATTCATTGTTATTTCGTAGTTTTTAACTTGTTTTTGTGCTGTGTTTAGGCTGTATTTTGATTTTTTATTTTCAAATTTCCGTCATCGAGCCTTTAAGTTCAGCTATGTATTATTATTTTAATAAGTAAAAAGTTGTAGAAAAATAAACGTAATCTTATAATATTGGGGTTAAGTAAAATGAAGGTTAAACTTTAAAATTTTAAAATATTCTTAAATACATGAAGGCTATTTGTTATGTTCCAAAGCAGTCCAAGCTTTAAATTTCGACTTTTCATAATGAATATTGTTTGTACTTTTCGAAATCGTTTAGTTTCTGTGCACTTATTTGCACTTTTCTTCACTATTTGGGTTTTTCAAAGTATATAAATATATGGCGGGACGATCGTCAAAAACGAATTCTGTCTTTTTTAATATATAACACCTCTACAAAGCAATATTAAACTTACAAATTCATAAAGAGAGTCTGTGATTTATTGCCAACTTTGATGGCTTGTTGCCCCAGTGTGCGACATTTCAATAATTAAGTCTTATCTTTGTATTTACCAAATATTTTAGTGTACTATCTATAACAAAAAAAAATTAACTATATTTGTCATGAACATTTTTTCATATTTTTTGCCACAGACTGACAACGTCGCAGAAATGAAAAATCAGTTTTTGAAACGTAAAATTTAACGCTAAAATCATTGTTGAAAAAATATACAAGACGAGTCATTTAGAAACATCGAGGTTTAAGCTGTCCCGACATAACGAAATACCATGTATATTATGACGAACTTCACATTATTTTGATATACAGCCACCCACATGCTTCAACCGACGATTCTACCTTCAGAATGGCAGGAAGATTCAAATATGTTGTGCTAATCGGTGACTTCAACCACCGCTCTCCAGGCAAATTAAAACAGATTCAAACTTTTATGCATAACACAAACTTTATTAAAGCGGATACTCCCCCTACTTTTTTGATGCCCAACAATGAGGACTCCACCCCAGATTTGTTAATGTACACTGACAATCTTAGCAACGCAATCAAGAATATAGAAGTAATCCCCGACATTGGGGCAGACCACCACTCTATAATGTTTACTATCGAGCAAGGAATGCCCTCTCCTTTTGCAGACCCATCTCTTAAATATCATTTCAATAAATCAAACATTGAAAAAATAAATAAAGAAGTAAACCAACTAATTTCAAACAACACTATATTACATCAATGATGTCAATAACTTTCACACAAAGGTCTCCGAGATAATCACAAACAACACACCAAAAACTGCAAACAAATATTTTACTTATGAACTTCCTAGATACATCGTGAAACTCATCAAAACAAAACGTAAAATGCTTAGAGAATACAGGCAAAACCCTAGTCGGGAAGTCAAAATAAACCAACAACTGTAACAAAGACATTCAAAAATTCGTAAAACAATTTCAGCAACACACATGGCTACAGACCTGCCAAGAAATCAATCGAGAACAGCGAAGAAACTTCGATCATAAAATAAATAAACTGTCAAAATATAAAACAAGGAATAAAATTCCAAATATTACAGAAGAAAAGGCCGATGCATTCAAAACGAACTTCATTAAAACATATAACGGAACGAAAGACCCATCTTTTGAACAAGAAAACTGGAATAATGTAAACTCACGTTGCAAACAATATTTTAGAAACAACTCAATCAATGAGGAAGATAACATAGAATTTGAGGAGGAAAAATACTTTCAAATACTATCAGAAAAACTCCGCTCCAGGATCGGACGTGATCCCATGGCAAATTGTGAAAAAACTAGAATATAATATACATATCTATAAAAATATTTGTATTCTGTCATAAAAACTCGTACTTTCCAGATCAACAGAAAAAAGGCACCATTATAGTTATCCCAAAACCAGGCACAGACCACAAAAGAATTGATAATTACAGACCAATCATCCTTCCAGTTTTGGGAAAACTATTCGAAAAACTTATTAAGGTCAAACTATCAGCATTAGTAAACGAACGAATTCCGCAATTCCAATTTGGGTTTAGAGAACAAATCTCCGCTCTGGTACCAACCACTCTGCTGGTGTCCAATGTGCAAACAATAAAATTGAACAATAAAAAATCTGCCATTCTCATGTTGGACATTAAAAAAGCCTTTGACTGTGTCTGGCACAATGGCCTCCTATTTAAACTAAAACTTCTTAATGTGCCTAATGGTCTTATAATCCTTATCAAAACCTTCCTTCAAAACAGAACTCTAAGAGTTAAAATAAATAGCCACACATCTTCAAGTTTCATAGCAAATCAAGGTGTACCGCAAGGGTCGCCACTATCTCCGCCTCTTTACAACATATATTGCTTTGATTTTCCTTCAGGTCAGATACACCTCAATGCAATACGCAGATGACACGGCCTTGATATTGCATGGAAATACGCTGAATTGAACCATTACAGCACTACAAAATCAATATAACGAAGTTGTTCAGTGGCTCAATAAATGGAGATTACAAGTTAACCCACAAAAATGTCAATTAATGATACCCTATAATGATCTAAGGCCGACATCACCTACACTCATCATATCTAACAAACCAATCTATCCCGTATCCTCAGTGAAATACCTAGGCCTTATTATTGATAATAAGCTGAACTTCAATAAACACACCCGCAGACAAAAAAATTAAAACCAGAGCCAAACATTTCCGCTCTTTAACATACAAAAAAGAAGGCATCAACATCTACACGGCCACTAAAATCTACAAAACAATTTGCAGACCTCTCCTGGAATACGGTCACACTACATATTTAAACTGCCGAAACCCTGAATTAAAAAACATTCAAGTGGCCGAAACTTCTACACTAAGAATCATTACCAAGATGCGACATCCTGAAAACCCCACTCACCATCCAGCGAATGAATATCTTTACGAAAAAACTAAGATTCAGACTATCCTGGAAAGAGTTAGGAAACTATCAAAACATTTCTCGAAGAAACGAAACAATCACATGCTAATAAACATTTTTTTCGATGCAACGACAAATTGGTCAAGCAAAGTTTAAAAAATCTTAAACGAATTTGCCGATGAACAATAATTAGTAACACATATTGTTTTTTTGTATTCATCTTACACATATAGCTTGTAAATCCTCATACATACTATACAAATTGTACGCTGAAGGACCTAGGTCGATGGCCATTTGGTTGTAATATTCATAACCAATAAAGTGATTTTATTATTTTTTTTTTAATTTTTTATTATTATTCCATGTATATTTCGCAGAATTTTAGAGGTATACAAAAAAGTAAACCCTATAACTTTTATTTAAAACATTTTCTCATATTTCTTATAATAATAGAGACTTTCTCGCACTAATGAGCCACCCTATATGACGTTAATTTAATTTATATTCACATTAGATGGAAAAACTAACAGAAGAGATTTTTACCCTTCGGAGGCCAGATAGGACTCCACCATGGCGGTACAGGAGCCTTTAAGACTGATTGTGCCGCCATTTGAGGATTCTACTGCCATCATTCACTAAACGTCTTATATGATTAAATAAATAACAATAAAGCATTAAACCATTGATAGAAAAAATTAATACAAATTGTTCATGTTAGTAGTTCCTTGTTCATAACAAAACATTTTTAACCAAAATTATTACCAAAATCCCACAGTAATATACCCATAAAAAATGTACCACTTACCAGCTGGATTAATTCTCGGTCGTCCTCTCGGTCTTTTGATCAACGGTTTTGGAACTAGAAATACAGATTTTAATCAAATAATGTGAAAGTAAAAATAAATGCTGCAGTTATTTAAATAAATTTCATATTCCAGGTTTAAATATATTTCATGCTGTTTGAACTAAACAATGACGTCACGTTGAATTAGCTTTAAATCATGATACTTAGGGCGAACAGATAAAGCTCACTTGAGGTACAAATTTTGAATCGAGCCGCGCATGACGTCATCGCGTGACAAAGGTACTGAGTATGAAGACTAGAGAGGAGGCGAATCGGCTATGGTCAAATTTCCGTCCTTCTTTTTATAAAGTTCGCGAAATTGACTATAGTTGGCATATTTAATGACAGCGGTGTCAATTTTCTATGTAAGTAAATGTAAAATAAAGTGATTTTTTTAAAAAATTGGTGAAAAGAATCAAAATCATGTGAAAACAAGTACCTGAGTACAAGTAACATGACTGCCAAAAAACATCAAAACAAAATTTACGTCGTTCTAGATTGTAAAACAGGATAAAAATCAAATGTAAAACTAAAGAAAACACAAGAAGAAATCAATTCAATGTTTTTTAAAGCTTCTAATGTTAGTAAAATAAAGTATTCATGTCTAAATATAATATTTATTGTAAACTAGTCACAATATGTATCTTACGGAGTGTAGTTTATTTTATTACAAGTTTTTGTAATATAACATTTACAGTTATAGATGCTGACTTACAAACAACAATAATTATGCACTAAATTTAACTCACTAGAAAAGAAAGTTTATTTTTTATTGAGTTTTAATGTTAGATAAAAAGTTGCTACTGTTATTTTTTTTTGACCCCCATTGTGTCATTGTAAATGTTTTTTATAGGATACTAAACGTTTAGAACAGTGGCAGAATATATATTGTTCAGTGTGCGGATAAAGCACTTTCTAGAGATGATGCTGTTCTATACTTTTTAGAAGCTATTATCAAATATTATGAGACTATTTTTACTGATGATACTGTTAGCAGAATAAAAAGGGGAGAGCTGAAATTAAAGGATGAGGTAATACCATATACATTCCCAAATCTCCCTTTATACTTGTATTACAACAATAAAAAATGTGTTAACTGTGTTTTATTTTACTCTTAAAACTATATATTGGTTCAATTAAAAAAAAAAATTTGCCACAAAATTGTACAAATTGCACAAATTTCAGCATTAAGGAAACGTTTTCGAATTTGGTCATTCATACATACATAATTTTTATTTTATATAGATAAAATTAAATAATTTAGCAATTAAGGTAGTTCACTCGCGACAGTTGTACATAAAAATATCGCTTAATGGTCAATACCAATAGTTCGAGATTCTCAATGCTAATCAATTTTATTTTTGTAAGAGACTGTACAAAACACATGTAAGCTTATATCATCTTATATATATGGATTTTAATAAAATCCATCCGGCAACCTCATAAATACATGAATGGTTTGCTATAGAAATTTGTGACTTCCTCATATTAATTTTAAGGGTTTGTTTTGGTTCAAACAGAACCGCTGATTCCAGTTCTCAAATACAGTAGACGAATTAATTTTTCAAGAAAACGTCGCGAGGTTATACCATCCTCTTAGCTGATCGAGTGTTATGTTGGTACAACGCGTTGATTGCAGCGTATACAACGTTGCCAAGTTGTAATAATTTTACGGAACTACGCGTCGATTGCTTTAAAAATATTTTTATTTTAAAAATCTATATCTTTTTACTAAGACGGTCAAAAAATTTAACGTTTCTTTAGAAAATTTTATAACTTCTTGATTTACATTACATTAGTTTTTAAAAAATATGGTAAGAACCGTTTTCCAGATATCTTGAAATAAATGCATTACTTGTGTACATGAGAGGCTTCAAGAGTGTTAATTATGCACATTTTGATTGTTAGTATCTCGTTTCACAGACGGTCAAAAAATTTAATTTTTTTTTATTTACATAAAAGACACTCTCATTAACCTTATATTTCAATTTTATTGAATTCTTAAGAAAAGCCGGTTTACGAGTGAACTACCTTAAAACATGCAAGAATTATTTAGAAATAAATACAATAGTATGTGCTTTATTTAGCTATAAACAAGTTTATTTTTATTATTTTCACAAAAATATGTATAATTCCCATAAGAAGCCATGTATTTTGAACACCTTATGCAGTACCAGCGCCCATGCGGTTAATTATAGAAGCTCAATTAGCATGCGTTTTTTGGGACCGTATTTTGAGTATGCTGATTCGCCTCCTTAAGTCTTCATAGTACTGGGGACGCCATTGTATTTTTGTTTGAAAATTGCTGAAATATTCGTTATGACTGCTTTACATTAAATTATTTAAATAGATAAAATAAAAACAAGTCAAAGTATAAAATATAATACATTTATTTATTAGAAGAAATAAATGTAGTTCAAAAATGGGGGAAATTCTCAATTTTTTGGAATATTTTAATTTATTTACATTTTAAGATATTCTTGTGTACTTAAAAATCTTCACAATTGTAAACAAATAATTTATAATCACTATTATAATAAATCATTTTAGGCCTTTATAATAGTTTTGTTGCACAGTATAAAATAGCTAAAGAAATTATAGTTAAATATTTTTTTTTGTAATTCATTTTGGAAAATAGTTTTATGATTTATTATTTAAACATATAAGTAAGTAAAGGTTTTTCATATTGTATTTATGAAAGTGTTCTCTATATTTATTTGACTATTTTTGTATTTTGCGATTTCTCATTTCTTTCTAAAAAATTGGCTTTTCACCTCCTCTGGTAAATCCACATTTTTTGAATTTTCATTGATTAGATGTCTTGGTCTTTGGAGATTTTGGCAGATTAAGTAAGGGTACAGCATCATCTTCCAGTTTTCACTTATCCTTCGGCATTCCAATATTTTTTCTTTATTATAAAAATCCTTATCTGAAAAATGATTCGAACCTATTCTCGCAATTTTAATATTGTTACGTTTTTTAATTTATTTAAAACACACTATTTACAATTTATTTATGACGTACTAATTAATTTATATAATACTTAGACACACTATTATAACTCACAATTCTAATTTATTTAACAAACATTAAATTTTCTGTTCAACACTTAAATTTAATCTTCTCTTCGTCCGTCGACCACTCGCGCTATTTATATAAAGTCCAACTCTGTGCGAGAATACTCTCGGGTTTTACCATAATCGAGAACTGCCTCTCTATGACAGATACGCCGCAAAGGGATCACTCCGCTAGTTTCTCGAAGCGTCAGCAGCATACCTAGAACATTCCGGTGTTTCGACCATGAGTCGGGTGGCAGGCTCCGCGTCACAATAATAAAATTATGATAGCATTTTTTCACCCATATATTTTGAGTCTCCTTAGCAGCTGGAAAAGTAAAGTACTGGCAGTCAGGCGAATAGTTTTTGCTGGTTTATTATTGTTACTGGTACAACCAGTCACTGCACAGCAAACCATTATTTCTTAACGTAATAAAAAATCAAAACTCAATTACAAATGGACAAAACAACTACAATCTCGTATTGACACGAAACACAAACTGAGAAAAGTGAACAAAAATGTATGCATTTAATAGGCCAAAAATTTGTCACGCGTTGGTGTCAGCTGAGGAAGAGAGAGAGATTATCATGCGCGTGATCTTATCTGTTCATCCTAGTATCATGGGTTTAAATCAACTGCATCTGTTGCGTGCTGGTTAATAGGGATTCGCAAAATATTAAGGCAGGTACAAATCTGAGCACGTACGCATATGAGGTAAGCCGAGGACGCATGAGCATGCAGGTGTGGACGGGCTTCCGAGGCGCGGCAAATTGCCTCGTTGTGTGTACCGTACGGCCTCGCCCCGATCAGTTTGTTGGCGGTACATCAAAGGGAGGCAATGCACAGTACGTGCTCAGTCTGGAAGGAGAATGTGTACCATACAGCCGTACAGATTATAGCGAGTTTTCAAGATTTATTTTGCATGGAGTGAAACCGAGAAAACGCTTTGCTTCTCCTGGATTTAAATAATCAGCGTGATATCTTAAGAGAGCAAAACGCCAGTTCTAATACAAAACCATAAAAAAGAATATCCGTGGCAGGGAATCGGCCATCGATTCCTTTCTCTTCTTTTTTTCTTTAATGTGTCGGTTAAAATAATAAAACATGCACTCAACTCCGCGACCTCATCGTCATCCTTCATTTTTGTTTTAATTTTACGAATTTTCTGGGTATACGGTTGCGTGCTCGCGAATTTACTGGATTAGTGACGAACAGCGCCTCGTGCGTCCACCATTCGTGTACACAAAATGCGTCGCACGAGGTATTTGGCTCGGCCTCGGCTTGTATCATACGCGTACGTGCTCAGATCTGTTCCCGCCTTAAAGGAAAATAATACACGAGCCACGTACCGCGGTGAATGGAGGTCGCGCGAATCTTAAGGCGGGTACAGATCTGAGCACGTACGCTCATGAGGCTAGCCAAGGACGCATGAGCATGCCGATGTGGACGGGCAAATTGCCTCGTTGTTAAAGGGAGGCAATGCGCAGTACGTGCTCAGTCTGGACGGGGAATTTGAACTATACAGTACAGAACAGATTATAGCAAGTATTAAAGGTTTATTTTGCATGAAGTGGGGTCAAAAAAACGTTTTGCTTCTCCTGGATTTATATAGTCAGCTAGATATCTTATGGAGAGCAAGACAAAATAATAAAACAGGCACTCAACTCTCAGACATCATCCACATCCCCCATTTTTGATTTAATTATACAAGTGTTCTGGATGTACGGTTCCGTGCTCGCGAATTTACTGGATCAGTAGCGAACAGTGCCTCGTACGTCTACCATTCGTGTGAAAAAAATGCTCTGTACGAGGCATTCGGTTCGGCCTCGGCTTGCCTCATACGCGTACATGCTCACATCTGTACCCGCCTTTATTCGAAATAGTCGCTAAGCCTGCCAATTAATGAAAAATGTATAAGCGGTTTTTTAAAAATAATATTTTCATTGTGTGCGACATACAATATTTAAAATCAATCCATTATTCATGATTTCACGTGTTGTAGATAGAATACATCGTATATTATAACCCCTTAGATATACCAACGTTAATTACAAGGCAAACATTTATAAGATACTTGAGGTCGATTCCTACGGGAATTTTTGATTTTTCTATACATAGGAAATTTTCCCACATAATTATGAAAAATGTATGTAGGAAAAGGTTCCCATAAGTCGAAAATCAACACCTTGGGGAAAATGTAGATGTAAGAATGCTCGATATAATAGAACCATATCAAGCTGTCTTGATGAAAACGTATTTGATGACTGGTTTGAGACAATAAAATTAATATTTAAAAACTTTGGGACCAGAGCCCAAAGCCATGATTGGCGAAAACTTTTCCAGCCACCTCGTTCCAAATGTTATTAAAAAATGTCAAGAACACTCTTACCTGCTGGATATTTCCTCGGTCTCCCCCTCGCCTTCTTTTGAAGCGGTTCCCCAAAATCCATACTCGATACAGAAGCAGATGAAAGTGTCGACACATTCTGTTTGGAGTGTTCTTGAGTTAAGAAGGAGATGCTTGAAGACTCCACCATATTGGTTTCCGGCGTAAGAATATCAACATGGTCAATGGTCTAAAAACAGGTAAAAAAAGTGAATACCAAGAAGGCGTAGCAACCAACGGAAAATAAAGAAGTTACTAATGATGAAGAAAAACGTGTGATTTTTTAGTATGTGTTTCATCAAAACGTTGAATGCATAGCTAGTAGTATCAATCAATTAAATGTGTATTTTAGTGAACTACAACCCCATTTCGTAGCAGTCAGTGAACATTGGAAAACTGTTCATAGTTTTGAGGCATATCCACTGGAAGATTACAAAATTGTATCGTATTTTTGTCAGTCAAATGAAGCTGCTCACGGTAGCGTAGTGTTAAATGCTCGATGTGATCTCATGCCCATTATAAGAAGTGGGATCAATGTTCTGACAAAAGAGTATATCTCTGAATGTTGTGCTGTTGGATTTGTATTGAATTATCGGCAATATGTATTATGTATCGTTTACAAGCCCCCTTCAACTAGCTTAGATATTTTCCTAAATTCATTGGACCAAATGTTGGAAATTTCCGCACAAGGAAAATTTAACATAGATATGCTAAGTAAATTAAATTTGAAACACCAGACCATGTTAAAAACGTACTAAACATTTATGATATGCAAGTTAGTATCTATGAACCAACTAGAATTACACCTACATCATCTACTTGTATTGATAACATTTATATATCGCAAACTTTAGAATACAGTGTGAATGTCTTAAAATACAAATCTTACAAATCATAAAGGTCAGCTGTTATGTGTATTGACTGAGAAACTAATGCCGGAGGATGTAACTGAGGTAAAGGGTTTTTTCAGTAAACATAAATATGACAAATTTTATGAGTTACTACAAAAAGAAACTTGGCTGTGTGTGTATGAAGTAATCACTGTAGATAGATTGTATAACTTTTATTGAAACTTTACTCAAACACTTCAACGAGGCCTTTCCATTGAAGAGGGCAAACTAAGCAAAAACAAATAAAGTAAATGGCTGTCTAATTCCATTCGTGAGGCAAAAAATACTTTATTTTCAGAAATGTACTTATAACGTCTTATTAGCAGGGAATATATTAACGCATATAAACGATATTACTCTAAACTGCTGCTATCTGAGAAAAACTATTTTACACCAAAAAAATTAATGAATTAGATATTAAAATAAAAAAGGCTATTTAGAACGTTATTATTACGAAAATGGGCAGGTCTAATAGACTTAAATACTTTTAATTGAATTAAAGTTGAAGACTAGATTGTAACTACCCCAGAACCAGCCTGCAATAAATTTAATAATTACTTTAAAACAGCTGCTTCGCAAATTCTAGAAGACCTAGATATGGACAATGTAGCTATAAAGAATCCACATTCTATATATCTAGCAGATGTTACAATAGAAGAGCTATTGCAAATAATAAAAAAACTTAAAAAACAAACTGTCTGCAGGTGAAGATGATATTTATAATTTGGTTATTAAAAATGTTGCTTCATATATTCTTATGCCGTTATGTTACATAATAAATAATTCCTTTAGGAATGGTGATTTCCCATCAAAACTAAAATCTGCAGTGGTGAGACCTATTCTAAAAAAAAGGAGATCCATTCTTAATAAAAAACTAGAGACCTATAAGCCTACTAACCGGCTTGACAAAAGTTTTTTAAATTGCAAGGTGTAAACGCCTTACTAAGTTTCTTGCTACAAATGGAATTATCACCTTTGTTGGGAATGGGGTGTTAATGCACTGCGACCTAAAATATCTATTGTGTCCCCTTCTGTTGCCAATGCACTAAGAAAATGTCTCAATACCTATAACGACCCTTCCAATCCTATTTTCTCAAGGAAGTGTAGGATTTGAAGTGTCTTCAAGTTAGGTAAATCTCCCTGTTCTATTTGATATCCTCCTAGATATAGTGACCTTGGATTCTGGAGTGCTACACATTTAGTTAGGATGTGAATGGAGGTTTCGTCTTCCTCCTCCTCACAGAATCTGCACTAACTATCCTCTACTACTCTCAGTTTACTTAGGTGTCCTTTCAGTCGGCAATGCCCGGTAAGGATTCCAGTTACAATACGTAGCCTGTTCTTGCTCAGGCAGATGCAGGCTTCTGGTTATATTCACCCAGAAGTATCTTGGCCTGTCTCAGCTCCAAGAGATTGTTCCAATTATCGGTTCTTCTACTGCCCAATTCTTTTTTAATCTCTCCTAATATTCTGTTACTGCTGATACCACAGAACGGCTCATGTCCTACAAAGGGTGTTTGAGCTCCTTTCCTCGCAAGACTGTCTGCAATCTCGTTACCCTGTACCCCGTTATGTCCCGGGACCCAAGTGAGAGTAACTCTATTTTTCTCGCCTAGCTCATTCAATTGTTCTAGGCATCTCCAGACCATTTTTGAGCCGATTACGTAAGAGCTCAGCGCTTTGATGGCTGCTTAACTATCGGACATGATGATAATCTCTTGTCTATGATAGTTTCTCTCGATGTTAAACTGGATACACTTCTCGATGGCGTGAATTTCCGCCTGGAAGATGCTTGGATATTTTCCCAAGCTTTCGGAGTGCTTGGTTTTCGGCCCATATACTCCTATTCCAGTTACTTCTATGGTTTTGGAACCATCCGTATACCACTGAATAGCACGTCTTTTGGCAAGCGCGATGGATTCTTGGCTCCATTCTTTCTTGCAGCCCAGCTCTATGGTTTTGAAGTTTTTCACAAAACTGTACTTCTTTAGTATTTCATCCCAGGTATCTTTAGTCCTAAATCAAGAAGACTTTCGTCTGATTACTCCGTTCCTGCTCATTCTATATCGTGTCCTTTTTGACACATTATCTATCATCAAATGTAGAGCAGCCGTAGGACAGGTTCTCATTGCACCAGTAATGCAAACATAGGCTAGTCTTTGTACTTTTGAGATATTAGCTCTCGCAGTAGCTAAACTAGTTCTGTTACTCCAGGCTATAGCCCCGTAAGTGCACTATTGCAGTATACATCCATCGCAGTATGTTTGGGTTACATCCCCATCGTTTACCTGCAATGTTTCTGTATACCATTAGGGCGTTTGTGGCATTATTTACTACTTCATTCTCATGTGTGTTCCAGAGAAGTTTGTTGTCCAGGGTTAGGCCTAGATATTTGACTTCATTTTTCCATTCTATATCTATCCCGTCTAATTTAACGGTTTTGAGATTAAGTTTTCTTTTCCTTGAAAAGGCTACTAGTGTTGTTTTTGTAGGGTTAATACTAAGGCCCACTTCACGGCACCATCTTTTAGTATGTTCTAGTCCTCGTTGGACTATATCACATAGGATATTACTAAACGTGCCACTAGCAAATATGACGACAGGGTCAATCTGCATAGAAGTTCGTCTACGGTTAGGCTTCACATTAGTAGGGATAGAACTCCTCCTTGTGGACATCCTCTGATTGTGCAGATGGAGATGGTGTCCTGCCCTATCTGTGTCTCTGCAGTTCTCGTAGATAACAGCTGAGCCATCCATCTGGATGTGATGTTATCTACTCCGCTGTATGCAAGTGTTCTTTTTACCAGATTCGTGTGGCGTGTTGTCAAAAGCTCCTTTTATGTCTAGGAAGGCACACACGACCGTTTCTTTGTTTGTCAGTGCATCCTGGATTACATCAGTCAACTGTACCAGGGCAGTTCCTGTAGATCGTTCTGCTCGGTACGCGTGTTGGCTGTGGTGGAGTGGCACCCTCTCCAGGACTTCCGTTCTGATATAATTATCAACAGCCTTCTCCATTGTTTTTAATACAAAGGATGAATTCCAAAGGGGAAAATCTAAAATTACAGCAATTTTTTCTTTTGTAGAACGCATTCTACATCACCTGGATAATGGCTGTATTGTGCATGGAGTATTTCTAGACTTGTCAAAGGCCTTTTATTGTGTAAACAACCAATTACTATTAAAGAAAGTATACGTTATTGACATATGATTGGTTTAAATCATATCTGAATGCAAGCTCTCAAAAAGTTTGTCTGAAACCAAATAATGCACTTTTTTTCTCAGAACAAGAATGGATAAAAATATAGGTGTATCACAAGGTTCTTTGCTATTTCTTCTCAACATTAATGACCTATCAAATGTGGATAGACTTGTCTTCTGTAACACTAACAAATTATGCAGACGATACAAACATTTTAATAGCTAGTACCGATTATAAAAGTATGAAATAAGATACCATGCACATATCAGCATTAACGGCAGAGTGGTTTCTATAAAATTCCTTAGTATTACATATGTCCAAAACAAATTGTATCTTGTTTAGACACAGTAGAAATAAGAACGATTATGAAAATGCCATAAATCTAAACAACACAGAAATTAATTATATGAGCTTTGTAAAATTTCTTGGTGAAACAATAGATAAGAATTTTGGGATGGTCTTGTCATGTGGACAATCTCTGTGATAGGCTTAGTAAGACTTGCTTTACTCTAAAAGAGTTGGCCAAAGTTGTAATTCAAAACACTTTGAGATCCGCTTATTTCGGACACTTTTATTCCATTATGTGTTACGGAATCATCTTCTGGGGTGGTTCTAACAATTACGAGGTCTTTGTAAAACAAAAAAGAGTATAGAGAATACTAATTGGGTTGAACTTTAGAGATTCGTGTCGAGGGTTTTTTAGACAATCAAATCTGATGATGGTAGTTGGTGCATATGTATATTCTTGTATAAATTGTATAATTGAAAATCAGGTTTACTTTAGAGAACATATTTTTGGTCATACACATAATACACGCGGAGTAGATAGTTTTGTAGTACCAACGCATAAAACCACACTATTTGAAAAAAGATGCTATTTTAAATGCATACAATTTTATATGTTTCCACGCTATGTAAAAAATATTAAAAATGTAGGTAGATGTAAATCAACCATTAGAAATATCTTATTTGATATTGAGCCCTACTCACTAGATGATGTTACAATCTTAAATATTTTCAATACATGTGTTATGTTAGGATTAAAAATAAGATAGGATCATTTTTGGTTTTGTTGTTTTTTTTTTATCCATCAGTATTAATTTTTTATTTGGTTCTTACCGAGGTTCTTACTTAATACAAGAATACGTGGTAAAATGGTGGTAAACAGTATGATTAATGTTATTACCAATTGCAAATTATAGCACTATGGATTTTGCTAGGTTCTCCTCTAGTCTTGGTAAATAAGCCATTCTTACTCAGTAAGTCGAGCTAGCTCGCACAATAATAATACTAGAACATCGTGCAGTTGGTATTTATGCATTTTAATTTTTAGTTTCATCATTATGTAATATTTAGATATGGATATTGACGTGTACAACACCATACACTTCGTATATTGTCCCTAGTACATATAAATAATTTGATTTGAATATATTTTCTCCAATAACACCTAAAATATAAAAGATCATTATGGAAAACTTACATATAAGGAATCTGGACCTAGAGCTTCATTAAGAGCGCCTATTTCATGGGCTTTATGTACGTGATGCTTAAGTTTATCATGTCTTGAGAAAGCTTTATCACATTGATCACAAGCGAATGGTCTCTCTCCTGTATGGACTAACTGATGTCGACTAAGATGTGATGCTCTCTTAAAACTAAACAAAATTAATTCTTAAATAACAATCACAAATTTTAACATATAAATTAACGTACCTACTGGGACATAAATCACATTTGAATTTTCTTTCTTTTTTCGCCCAAACGCTAAGATGTTCTCCTTGCTCTTGATCATCTAAGACTTCATGCCCAATGAAATTGTCGTCTTCATTTAAGTTATCAATATTGATTATGGAGGAAGAGGAAAGTGGTGCGTCATTATCTGGTAATACGTCGGTGTTTGTTTCTTTTTCTGCATAATCAGTTGTTAAAATTAAAAAATGTACCAGGGTGGATAGCGAAAGGAAAACGAATGGTAAATTTATTTGAGAAATTGTGTACACAGGAATTTGTATTTCAGGAATTCCGATGGACTTCCAAAGAAATCTCGCGACTTCCAAAAAAATTCCTTACTAAATAAGGGACTAATTTAAAAAAAAAAAATCTGAAAAAGAAAAATGATAATTCGCATTCTATCCAAAATTTGGAAATTTCAAACAACACTAAAAAAAAATTGCTTTAAAATGAAGGAACTTCATAATTATTATTGTAAAATAATGTTAAATTATTATTACAAGGTTAAAAATTTTATTTTTACAAATCTAACACGCGAGTATAAGGCTTCAGAGGAAAACGCTGTGAATAATAATTCGTATTAAAAAAAATCCTTTTAATTTATAAAATGGGTTATTTGACTATTATAAACAGGGATATATCATAGACTTTTACTTTTTAAAATAGAGCAGCCTATATATTACCTCTATTACATATTTGTATAGAGCTGTCAAACACGAGTTCATAGTTATAAACACTATGAGTCCAACATCAAATGTTTGATCTACAGTAAAGAATGAATGTCCTTTGAAGATTTGCAAAATAATTTTTTTATGAATATACAAACTTCTAGATGGTACACAATTTTTTTCGTTAATTAATTTCTTTCATTTGATGATGTCAGATTTAAAAATCTGTCAATAGCAGAGCGGTATTCTCATCTTAAGTTAAAAGATATACAATACGAATTTGTAGTTCTAAATTTAGAAATACACAACATTACAAAAGAAACAGATCGAATCAAAGGCAAGTTGAAAATTTCGAATTTGAATTATATATTGATTAGAGGTAAGTTATAGGTATAAAGTAAGTTTGGTGGACCAAAAGTCCTTAATTTAACACAGAGTATTTCGATTTGGTTACATCATCATCATCATCATCAGGCACACGTAGATGGATAATTATGAAGTCAGTGTATTTTAAATTGAATTTTTTTGTTTTAAGATGAAAATTTGATAAAACAAAAAACTGAGGGCGACAATATTATTAAAAAATATTTACTATAAAATATCCCATAAACTAATTAACAATCAAATAAAAATAGAAAGGAAGACTAACGACTAAAATATAGTAAAATTTGATTAAAGAATTTCAAAAAATCATATCAGTATGAAAAATTAAAAAATTTAAAAAAGTATTAAAATAATACAAATTGACCATTGAGTAATGTTTACTGAAATGAGGTATAGATGGTGTTATGCATGAATAATTAAAAAAATACAAAGTACTTAATGAATTATATAATTTGGTATATAAAGTTATATTAGAATAAAATCATAAACAAATTATAATTATGTGTACCTAAACTAGACAATGAAAAAAGAAAATTGTTACAGGAAATGGACTATTTTAGAAAAATAGCAGTTGATATTGGTAATAGAAACCGGAAATAGATTTAATGTAAAGTGGGAGAAGTTATTTTTTGAAAACTACCGGGCATCTGTCTGCAAGTATAAAATTGAAATAGGAAAAGGTTTAAGGTGATTACAGCACCCCTTATAATTTTCGAACAAGCATATCTCAAAAAGTAATTTTTTAAAAAATTAAAATTTTGGCAGAATAAATAAAGCAATAATATCTAGAATATGCATATATTTTAAAGTTTTAATTACTTCCAGTTTCCAAGAAAAAAAATCAAGGGGCTTTAAATTTTGAAATATCATAATGAAAATAAATGCATTCCACAACAGCACTATTCTTAATATAATCCCCAAATTTAAGCTCTTAATCTCTTGTTAATGATTTTTTAAAATTAGCCGAAATTAGTGGCTAAAACGTCTCGTTAAGTGCTGCTTTCTGGTGTAACGCGTCTGTAACTATCGTATCGTAACACTATCAGTCATCATTCATTTCTTGCAACGATTTACACCAGTTTTCACCAGAAGATAGCACTTAACGAGCCATTTTAGCCACTAATTTGAGCGAATGTTAAAAAATAATTAACAAGACATTAATAGCTTAAATTTGGGGATTATATTAAGAATAGTGCTGTTGAGGAATGCATTTATTTTCATTATGATTTTTCAAAAATTAAAGCCCTTTGATTTTTATACATTTAACAGGGGTTGAAACATTGATTGATAATTAGTGATAAGTTAAAAATAATAAAGTAAAAAATAGGGGTTGGGGATAAAATAAGATTAATTTTTTTATTAAAGCTTAGAACGTTGGGTTTTAATGTAAAGTGGAAGAAGTTATTTTTTGAAAATTACCGGGCATCTGTCCGAAAGTATAATAATGAAATAAGACAAGGTTTAACCTAGTTTATACATTTAATAGGGGTTGGGAATAAAATAAGATTAAATTTTTTATTAAAGCCGAGAACGTTGAGTTATCTATAAATTGTGTTTAGGCATTTAGAAGGGATGAGTTTAATATTTTTTTAAATTTCTAGGTTATCGAAATAAAAACTTGTTAGAAAACACATGAAGAACTTCTGTTTTATTCACGACAGCACGATATTTGTTTGTAGTTACATCTCCTGTGATCTCTGGTTTATGTCCCAAATATTTAAAAATCTTGTTTCTTTTACCCAGTGGGGAATTGGAATTATGACGGTTTAATACACCATTATTATGGAAACGTGATTCGTCGCTGCATATTTTTTCTGAGAATGAGGTATCGTCATTAAGTTTCACCTGCGTTCTAGTAAGAAAGTCTGCGTTTTTCAGAATCATTAGGGTGTAAACTTTGGACCAAGTGTATTTTATAAAGATGAGATTTATTGTCTTTTTATATTTTTTCGATGCTACTTTCGCTTATTTCAATTTCGAGTGCCAAATATCTGATAGAAACATATGGATTTACATTAACGTCCTCCATGATGTTTACCGTCAGGAAAATGTCCTTTTCTAAGACTTCTTTCTAAATTGGAAAAACTCCTAAATAAGGAATAATTGTTCTATCCGGAAAACGTTAATGATATTATAATTGTATCGTTTCTCTTGAATTCTTGCGACATTCACCATTAATAATAATCATATCGGTACATACGCTGGAACTAAACACAATAGGCATTTTGAAATAATTTATTAGGACTTGAAAAACTCTGAATTATTGCAAACTTATCAAGTAAAAGTTGTTAATGTTATCGAGTATTTAAGCTGCACTTCTGCAAGAGGCAGATTGATATAGCACTAGAATCCCTGGTATTAGGCATTCCAATGACCTGTCAAAATGTTGATACTTGGGAACTGATAGTTTAGACACAGTTTATTGCTAAAGAATCAGCTCACTTGGTCCAGTTGAATGTTCCAAAATAATATCCACTCCAGGGACACAAATTCAGGATGCGCAGAAGACTGCTGTTTGAATATAAGGCGGTTCTCATATATTGGATTGGTTATGATTTGATTCTGTATGCGCCAGGGATACAAAACCGAGTTGTGCAGTGTATAAACTGGAACATTGAGATCAAAAGTGCCGACGTAGAGTGAGCGAACTGATTCTTTAGCTATAAACTGTGGTTTAGATATGGCAACCCTGTGGCCTGCTGCCACTGACAGGGTCAATTGAGGGAGTCGTTCTGCGAGAGGTCAAATTGCCTCGAAAGTGCTCATTAATCAGAATCAGTTTAGCAAAAATGTGTTTTAAAACCAATTTTCAACCTTTGAATATAGTAAAAAAAAATAAATACCTACAGTTTTACTTAAAGGCAATCTATATACCTATCTATATCATTGATCCTGTCAAATCACCAGACCTACAAGGCAGTGGCGGCTGGTGGTAATTTAAAATGATGGTTCAATTTTTTCCAATAATTTTAACATTTGTAAAACTTTGTAAGATAGTCAATATCCCTCAAAACTTCTTTGGCATCGTCCGTTTTAATACAATTAAATTCCGAATTTTTTATAAGATCCCTGAGTCATGAAAAGGTTGCTTGATACCATCACTTAGATGATCCATTATTAGAAATGGTACAAGCGCAGATATTACCGTTTTTATTTCTTCTGAAACACGTGACATTTTCGAAGAACCTGTCAATCTAAAAAAGCAAAAATTTTCCCTGTTGTTTTGGTTACTTTTTAGAGAGGACAAACCTTAGAGCTGCCAGTGAATCCTGACATATGGTTTGCACAAAAATTTGCTCTTTTAGTGAAGCAATTCTTGATTAAATTACATGGGTATACAAAAGTCCACCCTGCAAAGCCAAAATAAAATAATAAGTAATCGTATTAAGTAAATTCAAACCCCGAACAAAATACAAAAATCGGTTATTTTAGATTAATCGGATATTTTGGATTTTTTAGAGACATTATATTCGATTTTGATTAATCGATTACAATATTATAGTGTTCAAACTATAGAACTATTATTAAATAACTTTCTGTACTCTAGTCATAAATAAATAATCGATTCATAAAAATAATCAATTATTGTAAAAATGATTAATCGAAAAGAATCGAATAAAATCGAAAAGAATCGAAAAAAATCGAAAAGAATCGAAAAGCATCGAAAAGAATCGAAAAGCATCGAAAAGAATCGAAAAGAATCGAAAATAATCGAAAGGAATCGAAAGAAATCGAAAGGAATCGAAAAGAATCGAACATAATAGAAAAGAATCGAAAAGCATCGAAAAGAATCGAAAAGAATCGAAAAGAATCGAAAAGAATCGAAAAGAATCGAAAAGAATCGAAAAGAATCGAAAAGAATCGAAAAGAATCGAAAAGAATCGAAAAGAATCGAAAAGAATCGAAAAGAATCGAAAAGAATCGAAAAGAATCGAAAAGAATCGAAAAGAATCGAAAAGAATCGAAAAGAATCGAAAAGAATCGAAAAGAATCGAAAAGAATCGAAAAGAATCGAAAAGAATCGAAAAGAATCGAAAAGAATCGAAAAGAATCGAAAAGAATCGAAAAGAATCGAAAAGAATCGAAAAGAATCGAAAAGAATCGAAAAGAATCGAAAAGAATCGAA